TGTATTATAAAATACCTAGTTTTTTAACTGAAACATTATGTGATTTACGTTGTATTTGGTTAAAAAAATTGCAAAGAAATTTAAGAAAGAAAGAAAAAATAGATAAAATTGAATAAAAATAAATATATTTTATTTATCTGTCGCTTATCATTTTCTTTTTTATGTTAATTTTTTTTTTCTAAATCTCCCAATCAAACTTAAGAAGCACATCATTATGCTGATGCAAAAGGAAATCCGCGTTTTGCTTAGTTGATGAATGTGGATTGCGTGGGCCATGTGAGTTGGCAAGTGAAAGAAAATCGATTTAATGATTTGGCCTTTATCCAAATAATCAAAACTACTCGTTCTGTGACAAATTTATTTGAATTATTAAAATATCCAGTTTTTAAATATTAACATGATGTGATTTACATTATATTTGGTTAAAAAAATTGTGAAGGAATTTAAAAAAAGAAAGAAAATAATATATAAAATTATAGAAAATATAAATATATTTTATTTATCTATCGCTTATCATTTTCTTTTTTATTTTAATTTTTTTTTTCTAAATCTCCCAATCAAACTTAAGAAGCACAGCATCATGCTGAGGCAAAAGGAAATCCATGTTTGCTTAGTTGATGAATGCGGATTGCGTGGGCCATGTGAGTTGGCAAGTGAATGAAGATCGATTTAATGATTTGGCCTTTATTCAAATAATCAGAACTACTTGTTTTATGGCAAACTGATTTGAATTATTAAAATATTCAGTTTTTAAATTGAAACATAATGTGATTTACGTTATATTTGGTTAAAAAAATTGCGAAGGATTTTAAAAAGGAAAGAAAAAATATATAAAATGAAATGAAATATAAATATATTTTATTTATCTATCGCTTATCATTTTTTTTTTATTTAAATTTTTTTTGTCCAAATTTCCCAATCAAACTTAAGAAGCACAGCATTATGCTGACGCAAAAGGAAATCCGTGTTTGCTTAGTTGGTGAATGTAGATTGCTTGGGCCATGTGAGTTGGCAAGTGAATGAAGATGGATTTAATGATTTGACCTTTATTCAAATAATCAAAACTACTCGTTGTGCAAAAAATCGGTTTGAATTATTAAAATACCTAGTTTTTAATTGAAACATTATGTTATTTACGTTGTATTTGGTTAAAAAAATTGCAAAGAAATTTATAAAAGAAAGAAAAAATAGATAAAATTAAATAAAATATAAATATATTTTATTTATCTGTCGCTTATCATTTTCTTTTTTATGTTAAATTTTTTTTCTAAATCTCCCAATCAAACTTAAGAAGCGCAGCATTATGCTGACGCAAAAGGAAATCCGCGTTTGCTTAGTTGATGAATGTGGATTGCGTGGGCCTTGTGAGTTGGCAAGTGAAAGAAAATCGATTTAATGATTTGGCCTTTATTCAAATAATCAAAACTACTCGTTCTGCGACAAATTAATTTGAATTATTAAAATACCTAGTTTTTAAATTGAAACATGATGTGATTTACGTTATATTTGGTTAAAAAAATTACGAAGGAATTTAAAAAAAGAAAGAAAGAATATATAAATTAAATAAAATATATTTATATTTTATTTATCGATCGCTTATCATTTTCTTTTTTATTTTAATTTTTTTTTAAATCTCTCAATCAAACTTAAGAAGCGCAGCATCATGTTGAGGCAAAATGAAATCTGCCTTTGCTTAGTTGATGAATGTGGATTGCGTGGGCCATGTGAGTTGGCAAGTGAATGAAGGTCGATTTAATGATTTGACCTTTATTTAAATAATCGAAACTACTTGTTCTGCGACAAATCGATTTGAATTATTAAAATACCCAGTTTTTAAATTGAAGCATGATGTGATTCACGCTGTATTTGGTTAAAAAAAGTTGCGAAGGAGTTTAAAAAAAGAAAGAAAAAATATGTAAAATTAAATAAAATATAAATATATTTTATTTATCTATAGATTATCATTTTCTTTTTTATTTTAAATTTTTTTTCCTGAATCTCCCAATCGAACTTAAGAAGCACAACGTTATGCTGCCGCAAAAGGAAATCCACGTTTGCCTAGTTGATGAATGAGAATTGCGTGGGCCATGTGAGTTGGCAAGTGAATGAATATCGATTTAATGATTTGACTTTTATTCAAATAATCAAAACTACTCGTTGTGCAACAAATTGGTTTGAATTATTAAAATACTTAGTTTTTTAATTGAAACATTATGTGATTTACGTCGTATTTGGTTAAAAAAATTGCAAAGGAATTTAAAAAAGAAAGAAAAAATAGATAAAATTAAATAAATTATAAATATATTTTATTTATCTGTCGCTTATCATTTTCTTTTTTTTAAATTTTTTTTTTTCTAAATCTCCCAATCAAACTTAAGAAGCGCAACATTATGCTGACGTAAAAGGAAATTCGCGTTTGCTTAGTTGATGAATGTGGCAGGGCCATGTGAGTCGGCAAGTGAAAGAAAATCAATTTAAGGATTTGGCTTTTATTCAAATAATCAAAACTACTCGTTCTGCGATAAATTAATTTGAATTATTAAAATACACAGTTTTTAAATTGAAACATGATGTGATTTACGTTATATTTGGTTAAAAAAATTGCGAAGAAATTTAAAAAAAGAAAGAAAAAATATGTGAAATTAAATTAAATATAAATATATTTTATTTATCTATTGCTTATCATTTTCTTTTGTATTTTAATTTTTTTTTTTAAAATCTCCCAATCAAACTTAAGAAGCGCAGCATCATGTTGAGGCAAAAGGAAATCAGCCTTTGCTTAGTTGATGAATGTGGATTGCGTGGGCCATGTGAGTTGGCAAGTGAATGAAGATCGATTTAATGATTTGGCCTTTATTCAAAAAATCAAAACTACTTGTTCTGCAACAAATTGATTTGAATTATTAAAATACCAAGTTTTTAAATTGAAGCATGATGTGATTTACGCTGTATTTGGTTAAAAAAATTGTGAAGGAATTTAAAAAAGGAAAGAAAAAATATATAAAATTAAATAAAATATAAATATATTTTATTTATCTATAGATTATCATTTTCTTTTTTGTTTTAAATTATTTTTTCCTGAATCTCCCAATCGAACTTAAGAAGCACAGCGTTATGCTGACGCAAAAGGAAATCCACGTTTGCTTAGTTGATGAATGAGAATTGCGTGGGCCATGTGAGTTAGCAAGTGAATGAATATCGATTTAATGATTTGACTTTTATTCAAATAATCAAAAACTACTCGTTGTACAACAAATCGGTTTGAATTATTAAAATACCTAGTTTTTTAATTGAAACATTATCTGATTTACGTTGTATTTGGTTAAAAAAATTGCAAAGAAATTTAAAAAAGAAAGAAAAAATAGATAAAATTAAATAAAATATAAATATATCTTATTTATCTGTCGCTTATCATTTTCTTTTTTATGTTAAGTTTTTTTTCTAAATCTCCCAATCAAACTTAAGAAGCACAGCATTATGCTGACGCAAAAGGAAATCCGCGTTTTGCTTAGTTGATGAATGTGGATTGCGTGGGCCATATGAGTTGGCAAGTGAAAGAAAATCGATTTAATGATTTGGCCTTTATTCAAATAATCAAAACTACTCGTTCTGCGACAAATTTATTTGAATTATTAAAATATCCAGTTTTTAAATATTAACATGATGTGATTTACATTATATTTGGTTAAAAAAATTGCGAAGGAATTTAAAAAAAGAAAGAAAAAAATATATAAAATTATAGAAAATATAAATATATTTTATTTATCTATCGCTTATCATTTTCTTTTTTATTTAAATTTTTTTTTTTCTAAATCTCCCAATCAAACTTAAGAAGCACAACATCATGATGAGGCAAAAGGAAATCCGCGTTTGCTTAGTTGATGAATGTAGATTACATGGGCCATGTGAGTTGGCAAGTGAATGAAGATCGATCCTTTATTCAAATTATCAAAACTACTTGTTTTACGGCAGATTGATTTGGATTATTAAAATACTCAGTTTTTAAATTGAAACATAATGTGATTTACGTTGTTTTTGGTTAAAAAAATTGGGAAGTATTTTAAAAAAGAAAGAAAAAATATATAAAATTAAATAAAATATAAATATATTTTATTTATCTGTCGCTTATCATTTTTTTTTATTTAATTTTTTTTTGTCTAAATTTTCAAATCATATCATTTTTTTTTATTTAATTTTTTTTGGTCTAAATTTCCCAATCAAACTTAAGAAGCACAGCATTATGCTGACGCAAAAGGAAATTCGCGTTTGCTTAGTTGGTGAATGTAGATTGTGTGGGCCATGTGAGTTGGCAAGTGAACGAAGATCGATTTAATGATTTGGCCTTTATTTAAATAATCAAAACTACTCATTTTGCGACAAATTGATTTGAATTATTAAAATATCCAATTTTTAAATCGAAATATACTGTGATTTATGTTGTATTTGGTTAAAAAAATTGCGAAGGATTTTAAAAAAAGGAAGAAAAAATATATAAAATAAGATAATATATAAATAAAAGAAAGAAAAAATATATAAAATAAAATTATATTTAAATATATTTTATTTATTTATCACTTATTATTTTTATTTTATTTTAAATTTTTTTTTAAAATGTTTCAATCAAACTTACGAAACGCAGCGTTATGCTGACCCAAAAGGAAATCCGGCGCTAAAATTTCCCCTGCAGCCGACTTATAAAAACATGGAACAGGTATTAAATGGGATACAGTAGTCTCTCAGTGCTAATAAAAACACCTTAAATAACAAATCAAACATAAAACAATTTCCACAAATAACAACATTTTTTAATTTTTTGTCTTTCTCTAGAAAGTGAAAAGTTTCTCTCTCTCTCTCTACACCATGCCCTGCAGGCCCAAATCGCAGCACTTGGTCGGTCGGTCATAAAAGGACGCCTTTGCTTCCAGAATTTAGTAAAAGAATTTCAATTCGAACTTGGGACTCGTTCCAGTCAACCATAAATACCCCTTTTTTCCCCTCTCCCGATTGAAGCCCCCCACAACCCCCTCACTTCTAAAACCCAAAGCACCTCTCTCTCTCTCTCTAAAAACCCTCTCTCTCTCTCTCTCCTCTCTCTCTCAAAACCCATAACTTTGACATGTATACTCCATTGGTGACCGAAAATTCACCATCCAAACTACAAGAAAATCCAGAGGTTCTCCACAAAACCCATCTCTCTCAAGCCCTCACAGAATCAAAATGCATAGCCAACATAGCTCTACCGATGGTACTAACAGGCCTTTTACTATACTCTCGCTCCATGATCTCCATGCTCTTCCTCGGCCGCCTCGGCGACGACCTCTCCTTAGCCGGTGGCTCTCTCGCTATCGGCTTCGCTAACATCACCGGTTACTCCATCCTCTCCGGCCTTGCCATGGGCATGGAACCCATTTGCGGCCAAGCCTTCGGTGCTCAAAGACACAAACTCCTCGGCCTCACCCTCCAAAGAACTATTCTTTTGCTTCTCTTGACTTCAATTCCCATTTCTTTACTTTGGCTCAACATGAAGACAATTCTTCTCTTTTGTGGCCAAGATGATGATATTGCAACCCAAGCTCAATCCTACATTCTTTTTTCTCTCCCTGACCTCTTTTCTCAATCTCTTCTTCACCCTCTTCGTATCTATCTCCGAACACAATCCATAACTCTTCCTCTAACATATTGCGCAACTTTCGCTATTCTTCTTCACATACCCATCAATTATTTCCTCGTTTCGGTCCTCAAATTAGGAATTAAAGGTGTCGCGATAAGCGGTGTTTGGACTAATTTAAATCTTGTAACATCGTTGATCGTCTACGTTGTAATCTCCGGCGTATACAAGAAAACTTGGAGTGGTCTGTCATCGGAGTGCTTGAAAGATTGGAAGACTCTCATTAACTTAGCTGTTCCGAGCTGCATTTCGGTGTGTCTCGAATGGTGGTGGTATGAAATCATGATTTTACTATGTGGATTGTTAATAAATCCTCGTGCCACGGTAGCTTCCATGGGGGTTTTGATTCAAACCACATCTTTAATCTACATTTTACCATCTTCCTTGAGCTTTGGAGTGTCAACAAGGGTTGGGAATGAATTGGGAGCTAACCAGCCCAAGAAAGCGAAACTCGCAGCCATTGTAGGCCTCTCCACAAGCTTCATATTGGGATTTTCAGCACTGTTTTTTGCTATTATGGTGAGGAATGTTTGGGCAACCATGTTCACACACGACGCGGACATTATTAAGTTAACATCAATGGTTTTACCCATAATTGGACTTTGTGAGCTCGGAAACTGCCCTCAGACAACCGGGTGTGGAGTGTTGAGAGGGACTGCAAGGCCGAAAATGGGTGCGAATATCAATCTCGGGTGCTTTTACTTGGTGGGAATGCCCGTGGCGGTGTGGCTGAGTTTCTATGCCGGGTTCGACTTCAGAGGACTGTGGCTAGGCCTTTTGGCAGCCCAGGGCTCGTGTGTTGTGACCATGTTGTTCTTTTTAAGTCGAACAGATTGGGAATGTCAAGCTCAGAGAGCCCAAGTGCTTACTGGAACAAACGCTCATAACAATGGATCAGATCAAGAAAAAACTGATTCATTAGATAAGATGAAGATTGATAATTCAGATTCACCAGTTTGATTTTTAGTGCATCTTGATTGAAATATATTTTTTGTATGTAAAATAGACTAGATTGGAATGTAGGGTCTGTTTTTTTTTTAGATCATTGTTTAGATATTCACAAAATATGCACTTTAATTTTAATTTAATACTCCAATGATTAAATTCTCAAGAGCACTGAAGCTCAAACAAAATCGTTTTGTTGAGTTCTTATTGGTTCTTGGTATGAGTTGAAAATCAGCATTAATTAAATCAGCTTTGGTGTCTCCTTAAACATTATTTTAACTTTTTTTGAATATTTAATACATGAATTAATACATTATCCAAACACTGAATTTGGTAAGTCGGAAAACTACAAGGGTGGAAATAGACATACTATGGTTAATGGGACAGTTGTTAATATTGGACTCGGATGATATGGAAGACGTGGCAGGTGCGAATTGGGTGGGACCAGTCAAGATTTGCGACTGCCGACTGCGTGGACGAGTAAACTAATTCTAAAAATCCTCAAGTGTTCAAACATTCTATTTGTCGCTGTTCTTCTATTAACATTTTAAGAGTTGTTTGATTATTGACTTTTTTTTTTTTAATTAGTTTTTAATTTTTTATTAAAAAAAGTATTTTATAGTAATTTTTTTTTTAATAAAAGAATGAGTTGATGCTTTATAGTAATTTTTTTAATTTTTTAAACTAAAATATTCATTAAGGTCCTAATTGTAAAACCTGAAATAAAATTGCAATTCACTGGCCCCGCTCCAGTATGAACATCCGCTGTTACCAACTGTTATTTAGACACGTTTTTTTTTTTTTCTTTTTTAATTTTTGATTTGTAAAATTTGTATTTTTTTTCACTATTAGATTTTAAACTTTGGTGTTTTTATTTTATTTTTTTGTGAAAGCAATTGTAGCATTCTAGTAAAATAAAATGTAAAATGAAAAAAAAATTATTGAAAGACAAAATAAGCCAATTAAAAGTTGATAAAAAAACCTTTGTCAAATTGCCACTCATGAAGATTAATATTTTACAAAATGTATAAAATAACAGTACATAATACATTTACGCTAAATTATAATTATGGTAGGAATTTTTTTTGATAAAATTAAAAAAATTAAGTGAATCCAAAACTCAAACCCATAATAATGTGACCTTTCACATATGATCTCTCTCTCTCTCTCTCTCTCTCTCTTCTTTCCCTCCCTCCCTCCCTCTAGGCTTCTAACTAAGCAATGCATGGGATGTGTAACTGTCTATACACCTGAAGGTTTGGTAGGAGTGTGTACCTGAATTTGGCATTTTCATATGTAGCTGCTATACTCATATGTCATCACCAAACTAACACTGCACATGTGTCTATTGTCACCCCCCATCAGTCTTGTATTCTTGCTCAACTTGCGTACCTTGCTGTTCATATCTACCCAGTCAAAGTCCATTGGTTTTGTTTCACTTGTCAATTCATTTAGATACATGCTATACTTGAAATCTGCCAGATTTAAAGTGTGTGAATAAAACACAAATTTCTGTTGGCTCAAGATAGTGAAGTTTACAATTTTAAATGCCATTAATATACTTTTTTTTTGTTTTTGTTTTTATGAACTTACTGTTTTTGACCAATCACAATATGTGTGTTGAATTCATCTTTTGAAATCTGCCAATTATTAGCAGGTCAAATGGCCTTACTTCAATACTATCATATGTAAAGTTGATGATTCAAGTCTTGAGAATAAATTTTTTGTGCAATGGTAACACGACACCATTTTTACATAATGTGACCAATTAATAAAAACCCACAAATTGGATTAAATAGGTATTTCTTATCTCTCATTAACCTGACCATGTAATTTTCACCATGTCATTGTGAGATCTCTCATTAGTTTATAAACTACATCGCATGATATTATCGTCATACTTGGTATTTATACCTGATAATCGTGAATAACTTCTCCTACTCGAAACTTTCCATCATATTTTGTTTTTTAGTTTCTTAGACCCTGTTTGATTCCAGGATATAAAGAGTAAGATTAGATATTATATTCTGTGAGGTCTATACATCCCATGTTTGCAATTTTTTTTCAAAGAGTATATAATATCCCATGGGATTGTATATCCCCCAAAAGTGGAGGATATCCAATACCCCCCATTATATCATATCCCCTTGGTTGGGATATGATTTAAAAAATCCAATTTACCCTTTTGTCTATCTAACATAATATAATTTAATATATTTTTTGAATTTAATATAATATAACTATTGAATTTAATTTAATATTATTGAATATAATATAATATAATATTATTGAATATAATTTAATACAAATTTTGAATTTAATATAATATAATTATTGAATTGAATTTAATATAATATAATATTATTGAATTGAATTTAATTTAATATAATTTAATATAAATTTTGAATTTAATATAATATAATATTATTTTATTTAATTTAATTTAATATAATATAATATTATGAGGGCAATCTTGAAAATTACTTGTTATATCCCATAATATATTTTGTAAAATAAACATACATAATAATAATATATATCCAATCTTATATATCAAGTCAACAAACATGACTTAAGGGATATACTATCCAATACTTATATCCTATTCATTATATATTCTAACTAAATCTCACATCATATTATATCTTTTATTTTATATTTTGTAAAACAAACGAGCCCTAAATTTATATGATCCCGTATAAATTTTAATGTTTGATGCACATGGTAACTTGTGTAACTAAAAAATTGACATGACTTTAATAACATGCCAAATGATCCATTCATTGAAACTCCCGACTACAGTCACTGGACATATGAGATCATACGAAAAGGTGATACATATAGCATTATTGACGGACAAGATATATGTAACTTTTTTTTAATCAACAAGATATACACAATATTCAATGCTAGCTTTGACTTTTTAGGGACCCAAAACAAGTTTTTAATACAGGCCCTTTATACATGGAAAAAAGAAATTCTCAAAAGAAGCTTGTAATATGCACTGATATTTTAACTATGTTTTTTCACAAAAAATTTACGTCTATATATAACTATTAAAATTTTATTTAAACATATAACAAAATTAAATACCAAAATAGCCTAAATTAGAGTAGTATAGTATCCCCCAAAAATGTACAAACTATATAACAAAGTATTACTTAAACATCAACATTCTTGCATTTTTAATGGTAAGATTAATAATCAAGTTTACATAATTAAACTTATCAGCAAAATTCATTCAATTTTTTTTTATAACATAGTTGACCGAATGTAATTTTCTTTTTTCAAAAGCAATTGTAATAATTATAGTCAATATTATACATTTGATAAACAACCATACATCAAATAATTCACCACCTTAATCAAGTTTTTTGGTTTTTTTTTGTGGGCCTCTTTTAATAAGTATAATAGTTGATATTTTTTGGGGAACTTACTGATAAGTCCCATGTACTAAGTTCAAAACCCAGCTAATCCCAAAACAAAATACTTGCACCAATTAGTTCAATACATTTTTAATTGTTACCAAAAAATCATTTTTTTTTTAATTTACAGACACTGTTCACATCTTACTACCGTCGGACTTTCGTCAAACGGTCGCTGGAGACTCGTCGGAATGTTTAAAACATGTTATGAAACTGTAAAATTTTACAGTTCTAAAAAATGTTATAAAACTGTAAAATTTTACAGTTTTAAACCATGATTCATTTCAGCACCAAAAAAAAAATTTGAAACTGCAAAATTTTACAGTTTTAAACCATAA